GGCTTTCGTTTCCTCTTCGTGTTCCTTGTATACAGGGTGATTTGTAATCAAGCGTATGATGATTTCCTCCCTTTTAGTGATTGCATGTAAAAGGGCTTCCTCCACACTGGCAAAGCTGAGGTGATCTAGCAACAGTTCAATCATTAACAAATCACGGCTATTGATAGCAAGGTGAAGGGGGTTTCTTCCCAAATAATCCACACAGTTATTGTCTAGAGAGTTTGATTCCAAGTATTGCTTTACAATGTCAATCTGGCCTAGTTCACATGCGCTAAGATACTGCCATTCTTCCACTGTCACCTGTTAAAGAAGTAATCTTAAATATTCAACAGCAATTTATTGAAATAGTGTGTGTGTGTGTGTGTGTGTGTGTGTGTGAGAGAGAGAGAGAGAGAGAGAGAGAGAGATTCAGATAAACCTTATAAACGACATAAGGTAAGACGGAACTACGGACATCAAGCACTCCTTTTTAGTCATATTGGACATGAAACTATAACGTTCTGTTATTCACTGGTTTTCTCTTTAACAGTTCACTGAATGTCTGAATTAAAATATACGACTGAAATATATGATCACATTTACATAAATCCAAATTTATTTTCTTCTATATGTATATTCAATCAATCATGCTTTTTCCCATTCATATTTCACTTTCCCTATCCATCCCATCGATAACAGATATCCATATCATTACCTGGTCTTCAATGAAGGATATTGGTGTCAAGCGTCCGTCCATGATCTCTCTATATCCTTATGCTCGTGAAAACCCAAATACTGTACTGAAACGCATTGTAAGAACACCAACAACGGACAATACGATGTAAGCAGTCTTATAACCAGCAGATGCCTTAGTCATACTGTGGCTTAGTAATAGAATTCTCTTGTCTACATTTAGTTCAGAAAATCGATATTCGTCTGGAAATCTAGATCGAAAACGTATGGTGAGTGCAAATCCGAGAGTAGTCTTGGGAACTAGGGGTAACTCGAAAACCACTGTTTTCGGTAAATCAGTAGGACCAAAAGACTGCCGGTACTATTCAATATATGAGGTTAATATACGGGTAAAGGGATATGTTGTTATATTGTGTAAACAGAAAATGGTTTTTTGTTTCACTGTATTTCATTGTTTTGACGCCGTCAGGCAGTATTTTAAAGAAATTTCAAACGTGGATGTTACATTTATTCCAATTATGATTATTATTTACACTGTAGCTATAACTAAAGCTGAATGCAACAGAAGAAATCAACAAGCCATGCTTTGGACTTCAAAACACTTTATTTTCCTATTGAACTAGTGGAATCAAAACAAACACACATACCCTATAGCTAGACGCCTACAAACCATTATCTTCCGTGCCTGGCCTACATGTAGAATTCCTTTGGTTTCCTAACATTGCAATTTAAAGATATCAATCGTAGCGCTATATTAAGATCNAATATATGAGGTTAATATACGGGTAAAGGGATATGTTGTTATATTGTGTAAACAGAAAATGGTTTTTTGTTTCACTGTATTTCATTGTTTTGACGCCGTCAGGCAGTATTTTAAAGAAATTTCAAACGTGGATGTTACATTTATTCCAATTATGATTATTATTTACACTGTAGCTATAACTAAAGCTGAATGCAACAGAAGAAATCAACAAGCCATGCTTTGGACTTCAAAACACTTTATTTTCCTATTGAACTAGTGGAATCAAAACAAACACACATACCCTATAGCTAGACGCCTACAAACCATTATCTTCCGTGCCTGGCCTACATGTAGAATTCCTTTGGTTTCCTAACATTGCAATTTAAAGATATCAATCGTAGCGCTATATTAAGATCTTTTTTTTTTTTTTTTTTTTTGCTAAACTTTATAAATTGTCTAATTTTTTCCTTAATGTTGTAAACACGCTGCGTGTCTATTTCATCCATTTTCTTCTCTGATAAACTGATTGTGTTAGTTGGACATAAACGACATTCGTTTGGTTGTGACTATGTTGATTTGGTCATAATCCGATTTCCCATAAGCAACTAACCAACTTAAAAGACATGCTTTTGCTGTATACAGCATAACATAGTACACAACTTGAAAATAGGATTTTCTGTTTGTCACTTATAAGTGCATTTGGTGCTGAACAATGTTTAATGTTTTTATTTGCACATTAACATGGGATCCATTCCACCTTCCCATGCATATGATTTGTATCTTAACGCCATATGGCGGACTCGCTATGCCATAGACTTCAACGCTCCAAGACTTCAATCATATATATACATATGTTCTTGGTTACAAATAATAAAGTAAAAATATTGAAATTAATATATAAAATCATTTCTATAAATAATAATGAATCTCATGGCAACTGCAAGGCACATCAGTATTAAATTTAGGCCACCAATCAATTTAGATTCGTGTTAGAAAAATATGCAGCTTCATCTGTACTAAACTTATTCTTTGGCCCGTCTTATTTTATTATTTTTCTTCATACTTAATATACTGTAGAAACCGTGTACTTTAATCATCTACAAGTGCTAAAAAAAAATTCTGTTTATTATGACGAAGAAAGCAGCTACGATTAATAATTATACCCCTGTGCTTGGTAGCTTGGTAGGGTAGGTGGCAAATTTTGAGGTATATAGATTATAACTAAACAAAGGCAAAGTTTTGTAAGCGAGATTTAAAACCGTTAAAATCGCCCCGAGTCCTTTACTTAATATAAGTAATAGCACACGCACACACACACACAAATATAACCGTCCGTATATTCATTAATATATTAGAATCAATTACCTTTGTATATGTTTTCTCGAATTAAATAATCTTCATCTCCTATTACAATTGTTAAAAATCTAAATATCTTAACAAATGGCTACTTTTTTGTAGGTGCGAAAATGTCAGTACTTAAGTACAACCTCTGCAGCGGATTTCTAACCACACCCTCTCGCTGACAGTAGCTGACACAGGATGAAGGGGAAATGGGTGTTATACAAATATTATGCTGAATCCTCGGATATCACATGTTATCTTTCAGGGACGAATCCAATATATTCCACTTAGAGTGAGTCGGATAATCAGTACCAAATGTCATATATCCCTTGTCCAGAAACTATGAAGCAATAAGAGACACTACAGTGATGGATCTGTCAATATGTGGAATGATGCTTTTATAGATAAAAAGGGGTAGAAGTCGAACCCTTTGAATCATCTATAAAAGTGTGTCAGAAAGTGTTTGGCGCATTTGTAACCTTTAGAACACAAGTGCAAAATAAAATTGTTAACCATTAAAGATTTGATTCTTGCTGAGATCCTCAAGTATTCGGTGTGTGATATCCATTTTTTGTTCTGAAAATGTGCAGAAAAAAAAAAAAAAAAAAAAGAATGGTAGTAGCTGAAGTAGTGTGTTTGCCTTCAAACCTTAAGGGACAAGGGTTTCACAAATTCTACATTCCATATCATTGATACACCTGCTGCACACACCTGTGCAACTGCAGTAATTTATTCTGTCGAGGCACTATTTTCTCCGAAAGGCAACCCATAAACACAAACTGACCGCAAAATCTATTATTTCTGCCGCTGTCATCAAAGTGCTCCCCAGCACCAGGCCCAGCGCGCCACCTATATCTGAAAACAGCGCGAGACCGGAATATGCCGGCTGTTGCTCTATCCCTTGGAAATTCAACTCTTTATAGAATATCTGCAAAATCAAATAATTGTCTCGGAAATAGTCCTCTGTAGTGCCAGGGTAACCGGCCATCAATGCAGCCGTGATAGCGTTTGACATTTTTGAGTGGGAAATGGTATAACCGTAGTGGACTTCTTCACAAGGAACGGGGCACGCGCAGGCTTGCAGGGCAGCCGATGTATTTGCACGTAATTCGTCAAGGCATTCCCACCATTGTGTCGGAGAACATTCTGGAACACCGGGGACATTTATCATGTAGTAAGCTCGGCAGCCACAATTGTCCATTGTAAAATTCAATCTGAAAAAAAAAATTATTCGTTCCTTTAAACATCAGTTATATCGGCTCTTTTCGCTTTCCATTCCCTAACACAAAGTTATAAACAGTCTTTTAATTATATAGTGATTAAAAATCATATATTCAGTCATTAATATTATGATAATAAGCAGTTAGCAGTCGTTATGTTACTTTTTTCATGCTATGATCCTAAAAACCAACAAAAATTTTGATAAAAAGCTCAGTGTTTTCTGATGCCTTGCATTTTTTCTCCTTTACATCTAATCCCGTTTGTAAGTTACACTTGCACTGAATTAACCATGGCTATTTTTGTTTCCAACGTGGCATTGGGCATCAGCCATTAACGTGTGCAGTCACGATTACAGATACTAGTGCTCTAGTATCTAAATTCACTTTGTATCATACGTGAAGAGCAACCCCACCTATCCCCAGAACTCAACTTATAATGCGATTTTACGTGAACACAAAGCAGTAAAGAAGCTGAGAAAAATATTTGCTTTGTTAAATTAGAGATACTCACGTGCACTCCGCTATGCAATTCAACGTAGAATACGAATCATAATATGCCAGATTTTTTTCTGCACAATTCCCATATGGAGACGGTAAATTCGTTACCTGCAATAAATGCAATGCATAAAAAATGTGTTTAGGTTTAGGTCTGCCTAAAGTTACATACAACTCATTAAACCACTTTTACTAGTTTCTTATACGACCAAAATAACCTCGAAATGTCAGGTCAGAAACCAAATTAATTCCTCGTTTAAAACCGAGCATTCTTCAAATTTCTGGTTGGAAATTGACCTATTTATCCGTTCCAGTGATTAGTAAAGCTACCATATATAAAGTGGTACTGGGCGCGCATTGCATAGGCATCATTCTTACTCCCATATATAGATGTGCTGCACGCGCAATTGCACACTCAGTCAGTGTGCAGTCAGACTGCTGAGAAATATAAGAACACAGAAATAAAGCAGAAAATAACTGTTTTAATATTATTTTCGGGAAATACATGTATGAAATGATTTTCTTTGGTATTTCTCTAAGTTATACTTTTTTCAAACTATATGTGATGTCATTGGGTTGGGTTTCGTGGCAAAATTTTGACTCTGCATACATGTTTAAACATTTCACTGAATGAACAGTTTTGATAAATGTAAATATTTTTTCTTCGCTGATTGAGCTACGTGTATTTTAGGGCTATTTGAACAATAATTCATATCTTCTGATCAAAATAAGTCAACACTATAAAATCTAAGCCTACAATGTTATACTTACAATAGTAAACTGCACTACACTGTAACATAAGATACCTTAACAAACGATACCATACCATACTAAACTCAACTAAACCAAACCATACCTTTGTTTGTGAGATGCCAACACTGATACTCTCTCCAGGAGCAACCTGAAAGCCCAGGTTTTCAATGTACGGGACGTCATCGGGGTGGTGGAGTAGCACCTGGATTTAAGAGAAAAGTCCAAGTGTTACGCTGTCTCTACGCTTACGTTAGCAGTGTGCCAGATAATTGAGATATGTCAGTATGACATATAAAAATTATATAAAAAATCCAAACCCTATCTTTCTATTACTTTTTTCATCTTTGTACCGTTACAAAGAATTTCAAAAAATTTATGGTTATAAATACGTGGCCCCTTAAGGTGACCTGGAAGGCAAGAGTAAAATTCATGCAAAATAACTCACTGTAAAGCCAGCACTGTGTGTTGTAGCCAGATAATTGTACTGTTCAGCGTTCAAAATTAGTTTAAGTCCAAATGTCGAACCTAAGAGTTCGGTTTTCAGATTGGTGTCACCTGTAAAAAAATTAGTCTACATCTAGTAACCAGAAGAATAATTGTTAACTTCACAAGCTACACAACAGGAAGACTACGTAAATAAAACTCAATTTTTCAAGCTCAAGTGGGTCTACTTTTAGACCAGCTACCAGTTAGCCAGTTGACTTAAATGCTGCAGTAAAGGGGTTGAAATGGCAGTGTATTGATAAACGACCATATACTACTACCACCACATATCAGTTTAAAATATAAAATAGAAATTAATAAAATGTAGAAAAACAGCAGTGTACAGGAATATTTTGAAAGGCGTCTCTTGATGTACAACATAGACAGATTTGCCAAACCTGTTTCCCTGAATCATGCTAAATTATCAAAAAAAAAAAAAAAAAAAAAAAAAAAAAGAATATACTGGAGATCACGTGGACAGTGGTGAAGTCACGAGGTTTATGTCAACGTAGATCAATTACCTTAATGGGTTGTAACGGATTTCTTACATGCAGATATTTATGAAGTGGTTTTATGAAAGTGAAATTCCTATAATGAATTGTTTGCATAAAAGATGTAACTCGCATTGATCCTCATATCACACGTAAACCTGTCAAATCAATTAACTTCAATAAGAAATAGTACATGGACTTTCTTGGCAATATACATTATATGGACACTTTTCATTGACGTGAGCCACGCCACAGAATCGTTATATATAAAGTGGGTACAGAACCACGTCGAAACTTTAATTTTATTCTTTTTTAAAAACTGTTCATGATACCTCGACGAGATACCAGTAATAACTATATTGTGCCACATCATACCCAGATCCTAGATTTTGACAGTTACATTTTCAATCAGAATGTCGCGACGTCCCATATCATCACATTCCCTTTATTCAAGTGTGATAGGAATGGTAGTCCTAGGAACGGATTTCAGAGATCGCATATAATTTGTACAGGATAGGTTGGAGTATCGGGATTAGTATATGGGACGTATGTCAGCTGTACAAATTACTGGAAAACGGACTACGTTTCCTAGCGGACTACCATTTCTGTCCCACCTACTGGCACACAACTTCTCATCGAGAAGCACAATAGCGGGGTTCATCTGCTACATCAGCATTACGACCACTTTTTATAATATTGGCGCCATGCGATTTAAACATGCCATGTTAAAAACCCTTTCACAGTTTGAAAGAATGGGATAATGATATCGTTAAGGCAAACATCAATCAAAAATTGATGTTGAAATTAGTTTTTATTATTATACACGTATTGGAGGGACATGTATTGAAAACGTGAAGTTTACATTAAGCACAAGAGGGGAAATGACAGACGCGTGATCAATATCGGGTTCCTAGACGTGTTTTGAGACAATAACTCACCCCTGTGTTATAATTGCTTGCTTATGTTAGTTATGAATAAGTTACCTTCATGCTAAAGGTTTGTTTTATTACTTATGTGGACAGCGTTTACTTACATGTATTTGCTTTATAGAGGTGATTCAGTTCGCAAAGTCGTTTTTAAATTCAACAATAGCGGGTTACGATCGCCATACACAAATAAAATGTAAACAATGAATTCTATAAACACAATAAAATTCTCTAAACTCAACAAAAACCTTGCACTGCTGGCAATACTGATGGACCCCTTCCGTTCATACAAATCAGATTAAGAAGAGCGTACCATGGTTGAACGTGTAGCACACGCCCATCTCCGTGAGGATTCTTGTGAAATTATCCACAGAGCAGGGCTGGGCGTTCCATTCACAGGACTACAAGATAGAAAGAAAAGAAGTTACAACGGGAAACAATGACGACGGGGATAAGATGAGGACTGATATTTTGCTTATTTAAATGTGGTCGAGTGGACGATCTCTGTATATAATGCAATTTAAGTGTAGTTAAGTGATTGTAAAGGTATTTCAACCAGTTACCTTGACAACGTGAATGCGAAAAAGGCAGTAATATATGTGCTATTCATATGTTGCATATATGTTGCATATTTCAGGGGCCTACTGCCAGACGTCCATTTGGACTAAATCTTTTAATTACGCTCTACAAAATACAATTAATGCTACGTCTCGTTCAGTTTTATAGATATGACGTGTCTGACATCAAAAAGGATTTAGAATTAAATCGTTTAATCATAAACTGTTGAGCTATGGTGTCCGTTTCACGATGAAAAACATATATAGCTTATCCAGACCTCCCAAACAGGGATGGAACAGTATTATGCGCAGAGATCGACACCTCGAGCACGGGTGTTGTGATGTTTTGTGAATTATTTTTTCGGCGGGGGGGGGGGGGGGGGGGGGGGGGGGCTTTCTTTT